TACTCTAGGTTTTCTAGCTTATTTATGTAGAGGTGTTTTTAGTATTCTCTGATGGTACTTTGCATTTCGTGGGGTCAGTGTGGTGATATCCCCTTTATCATTTTTTATTACATCTATTTGATTCTTCTCTCTTTCTTCTTTTATTAGTCTTGCTAGCTGCCTATCAATTTTATAATCTTTTCAAAAACAATCAACTTCTGGATTCATTGACTTTTTGAAGGGTTTTTTGTGTCTCTGTCTCCTTCAGTTCTGCTCTGATCTTAGTTATTTCTTACTTTCTGCTAACTTTTGAATGTGTTTGCTCTTGCCTCTCTAGTTCTTTTAGTTGTGATACTACGATGTCAATTTTAGATCTTTCCTGCTTTCTCTTGTGAGAATTTAGTGCTATAAATTTCCCTCTACACACTGCTTTAAATGTGTCCAGAGATTCTGGTATGATGTATCTTTGTTCTCATTGGTTTCAAAGAACATCTTTATTTCTGCCTTCATTTCGTTATGTAACCAGTAGTCATTCAGGAGCAGGTTGTTTAGGCTTCCATTTAGTCGAGCAGTTGGATTTTCGGGAGTTTAATCCTGAGTTCTGGTTTGATTGCACTGTGGTCTGAGACAGTTTGTTATAGTTTCTGTTCTTTTTTATATTTCCTGAGGGAGTGCTTTTTTACTCCAACTATGTGGTCAATTTTGGAATAAGTGTAAGGATATGGTGTTGAGAAGAATGTATATTCTGCTGGTTTGGGGTGGAGAGTTCTGTAGATGTCTATTAGGTCTGCTTGGTGCAGAGTTGGGTTCAATTCCTGTATATCCTTAACTTTCTGTCTCGTTGATCTGTCTAATGTTGACAGTGGGGTATTAAAGTCTCCCATTATCATTGTGTGGGAGTCTAAGTCTCTTTGTAAGTCTCTAAGGACTTGCTTTATGAATCTTGGTGCTCCTGGAATTGGGAGTATATATATTTTGGGATAGTTAGCTCTTTTCTTGTTGAATTGATCTTTACGATTGTGTAATGGCCTTTGTCTTTTTGATCTTTCTTGGTTTAAACTCTGTTTATCAGCGACTAGGATTGCAACCCTGCCATTTTTTTTTTGTTTTCCATTTGCTTGGTAGATCTTTCTCCATCCCTTTATTTTGAGCCTATGTGTGTCTCTACACGTGAGATGGGTCTCCTGAATACAGCAAACTGGTGGGTCTTGTCAAATACCACTCAGGCCTGCCCTATAAGAGCTCCTGACTCTTATCCAACTGCCAGTCTGTGTCTTGTAATTGGAACATTTAGCCCATTTACATTTAGGTTAATATTGTTATACGTGAACTTGACCCTGCCTGTTATGGATGTAATGGACGTTATTGTATTTAAATTAAAGTTGATGTGTGTTCTCACCTGTACTTGAGATAATCTTACTTGCATGTTCATAGAAAAAGTGTGGTTAACACTCCTGGATAGTTTAGCTTATGCTTAGTGCCTTCAGAGTTTGTGACAGCCTAAGATAAAACCTCTGTCTACTTGCCTGGTGGATGTTCCATTCAGGAAATTTAATAAGACATCGATATAAAATTTTTAATGTAAATTCAAGAATGCGAATATTGCCCCTTCTTCTGGTTTGTGTGGTTCATACTTAGAAATTTCACTTGTTAGTCTCTAAATGGCTTCTTAGTATAAAAAACTGCCTTGCTTACCCAATATTTTCTCGATTTGCAATTTTTGTAACTTGATAATTTGATAGATTTGAAATTTTGCTTCTTTTGTAGAAAAATCTTGTAGCGTTCATATTCCTTGAATTTGAATGTCAATTTGCCTTGTGCATTAGTTAAAGCTTCTGATGAGAGAATTTGCAGAGAATGTTTTCCAATCCTGGTTCCATTCTCCCTCACTTCTGCAGTTCACAAATCAGACGTAGATTTTGCCTTTTCCCATATTCCCATATTTCTTGGAGGCTTTGTTCATTTCTTTTACTCTTTTTTCTCTAAACTTCTCTTCTCACTTCATTTTATTCATTTGATCTTCAATCACTGACGCCCTTTCTTCCAGTTGACCGAGTCAGTTACTGAAGCTTGCGATTTGTCATGTAGTTCTTGTGTCTTGGTTTCTCAGCTCTCTCAGGTCATTTAAGGACTTCTTTTACATTGGTTATTCTAGTTAGCCATTCAGAAATCTTTTTTCAAGGTTTTAGCTTCTTTGTTATCGAAGGTTCGACCTCCTTTAGCTCGAGAAGTTTGATTGTCTGAAGCCTTCGTCTCAACTCGTCAAAGTTATTCTTGTCTAGCTTTGTTCCATTGCTGGAGAGGAGCTGCATTCCTTTGGAGGGGGAGGCTACTCAGATTTTTAGAATTTTCAGTTTTTCTGCATCTTCTTTTCCCCATCTTTGTGGTTTTATCTACCTTTGGTCTTTGATGATGTTGATGTACAGATGGGGTTTTGGTGTGGATGTCCTTTCTGTTTGTTTGTTAGCTTTCTTTCTAATAGTCATGACCCTCAGCTACAGGTCTGTTGGAGTTTGCTCAAGGTCTACTCCAGACCCTGTTTGCGTAGGTGACAGCAGTGGAGGCTGCAGAAGAGTGAATATTCCTGAACAGCAAATGCTTTGCCTTACTATTCTCTGAAGTTTCGCCTCAGAGGGGTAACTATTGTGTGCGTGTGAGGTGTCAATCTGACCCTAGTGGGGGTGTCTTCTTCCTCAGTTAGGCTACTCCAGGGTCAGGACTCACTCTGGTGGGCCTCCACCCAGTTTGGAGCTTCCCACCACTTTGTTTATCTACCTGCCTCAGTAATGGCAAGCGCCTCCTCCAGCGCCTTGCAGCCCTTGCAGTTAGATCTTGGACTACTGTGCTAGCAATGAGGGAGCTCTGTGGCGTGACTCTCCAAGCCAGATGCAGGATATAATCTCCTGGTGTGACGTTTGCTGAGACCCTTTGATAAAGGACAGTGTTAGGGGGTGGGAGCACCCAATTTCCAGGTGCTGCTGTGTATCACGGTTTCCTATTAGGAAGGGAATTCCTTCCCCCCTCTTGCACTTCTGGGTGAGGTGATGCCTCGCCCTTCTTCGGTTGTTGCTCTACGTGCTGCATTCACTGTCCTGCCCCTACTGTCCAACAAGCCCCAGTGAGATGAACCCGGTACCTCAGTTGGAAAATGCAGAAATCACCTGCCTCCTGTGTTAAGCCTACGCTGGGAGCTGGAGGCTGGATCTGTTCCTATCCGGCCATCTTGGAACTGCCTCTCTCATCGCCTTTAATGGGAACAAAAAAAGGTTTTAGCTTAGATATCTTCCTGTTTGTCAAGATTTTCTGGATTTTGACTTTTCAAAATATGCTGTCACATACAAGAAACCCTTGGATATAAAAATTCCACGAATATTTCTCTTTTTCTTTGCACTTCATCACTTCGGTGGATGTCATCAATTAATCTCTGGGTTATAGCATGTTTTCTTGAAAGTGTTCTTGCAAAGTCTTTATTTTGGGCATTGAGAATTTCATCAAACTTAAGTGAATATTTCTACAAATTCGAAGGCATAGTCCCTTTTGATGCTTTATTATTTGTACATATTGCCTCCACAAGACCATTTCATGCAAAGACTTGTCTTGTCCCCACAGCCAGATCATTGCAACATGATATAGAATCAATTGGTCAAAAATGGGAAGGTTATCTCTGGAATGTCTATTTGACTTCCATTGATTTCTCCATTTAATTAAGACACAATATGCTGTGTTAATTACATAACATCACTGCACATTCTCAAATCAGAAAGGTAGTTCCAACTTTTGTCGTTCAATCTCGAAAGAATGACTTTCCAGATGCACATGCTTGGAAGCATTTCTCAAACACACACACACGCACACACTCACATCCAGACACAAAGATACAAACACAAAACACACAGACACAAACTGTTTAATATGTACACAATTGTTAACTGGCATTGTTTTACATGAAATAAGGCAAATGTGTAGCCACTGTCCTAACTCAGTTCCACTCCTATCATATTTGCCCATAACACTGATTAGTAAATCTGATTCAACTGTTCTATAATCACAATTTAAGCTGTGTCCATTAAATTCCCTGAGGAATGCAAATGGATACAACCTAAGACACAAAACTTAATTGACTGCTGACATTTCATTGGTAAATTGGGCAATTGACGGGTAAATGTAGTGGAACCAGGTGGGCATTAGTTATATAAGGGATGAAGCAGCAAGATACTTCATTATTAAAAGGTGTTTGAAAGAAATTGAAACACAGGAGTGTGTATATTCAGCTGAAATAAAATTAGAAAACCCAGAAATCAATCTCACTTAAAAATGGCATTAGGGGAGATTCTGGGTCAATCATCCAACTGTGCAAACTGGATCTTGAAGCAGGATCCCTTTCCTGCAATGAGACTTTGTTTATTGGTGGTGGTGTTTCAGTGGGAAACGACGGAGAATGGCTCCCTTCCTTTGTGTATCTGCTGATTAGATTTCATGGCTGATTAGATTTCATGGGAAATCTGGGGTTTTAAACTCTATTTAAATGTTAACATAATTCATTCAAATGACAAAAAATCAACAGGTTCTTTGATGTGGAATCATCACAGATCCCTTCTTAGGTACAAAGCATAAAGTTGACCTACCAGAGTGAAACAATTCATGGAGAACGGCTCCCTTCCTTTAGTGTATTTAAGGATTAGATTTAATGGTACATTTATCGTTAGCTAGGGCATAGTGACTGTGTTGACCTACCCAAGAGTAGAGATGTCCAGGACAGAACTCAGGACTCTGTAGAATCACAGAATCCTGTGCACACTGTTCAAGCACATAAATATGTCATTCAGAGGGTTTCCCGTGTGATTGTGTGTGTGAATTGCAGTGTAATGAGCATGACACGCAGACAGGTTATCAAGTGGACTCACCTCAAAATCAGTTATGGGCATTACAGAACACTGGATAAGTTCCCGGATCCAGAGGAAAGAACTCCAGCATCCTGCAAAGCCACGGTATCTGGATTTCTTCTATGCCTGTGGACTGGGTGCTCCTGAAAATAGTGACTCCTTCCTCCTTGTGGAGCATCTTTCTCAGCAGCGCTCATTTCTTCTTCCAGGACTCTGTCCAACAGAAAGGAAGCCTTCTGATAGAGCACACCTGGACTCCATGAAAAGAAAAGGGAAAGAAAGGAGGCCAAAGGTCACACTCTCCTCATTCCACCATCCTCCCTGAAATCATCCTGATTTCTTGGGCCCTGAGACTGGGGATGCTTCTGTACACCTTGGAGGCCTTGGGCGCCTGGCCTAAATTCTATTCTCTTTCTCATTATCTGAAAAATTTTAAGAAAATCCCTAGAGCCAGGATCTTTATTCCTAGTAAGCCAAAAGTCCCAAAGAAAACACTCCAAATTCTGTCTTCTATTTGGGAAACAAGTCTACCTTCATCAGCATGACATTTTCCACCAAATGTGGTAACTGCAAGTCCACCACACAATGCTTAACTGGAATTGGAAGCAACATCTCAGACGATGAAAAATACATGCAACAATACCTAAGACAAATGGTTTATTTTTCCCTTTCTTACTAAAACAAATCGCCAGTTTTAACAATGGTATACAAATCTCTTTTAGACACCCTGCTTTTAAGTCTCTATGTTTCCTCCTGAGACAGGACTCACCATACCCAGGCATTTACAGTGTTTAATTCTGATTATATGCTATTCTCAAATTTACAACTATTTATTTCATCTCTTCCCCAAATGTTGATCCATTATCACATACGTATTAAAATATTATCTCCCATGCTGTGATATGTTGTTTTTATATCTATCCTTTCTTAAATGAACCAAAGGTTTTAGTTGGATTAAATTGTGATTAGTCAAGTTTCCTGATTTCATGATTTCTTAAATTGCGGTCATATGACCTCAATCACTGGAAATAGAATGTCATGAGTATTTCTCTTTACTTGCAATCATAAATACGGGGAATGTCATCAATTGGTATGTCGGGTGATTGCATGATTTCGAAAAAGTCTTTCACAGTTCAATTTGACACTGAGTATTTGCCTAAGTTCAGTGCATGTTTCCAACATTTGATGCTTTATGATTTCGGTATATAGCTTCCACAAGAGCATTTCCTGCAAAGACATGTCTTGGTCCCCACTGCAGTCATTTAATTTAACACAGAATCAATAGGCTGAACATGGAAAGGTTATCGCTAGAATACTTATTAGACTGCACGGATTTCTTCTTTGATATTAAGGAAACAAATACACTGTGTTATTAACTGTACTTCATTGATGATCCCTAAGTCAGAAAGTACAGGTACAGGTCTGACTTCCTGTCCCTTCAATGCCTGGAAAGAATGATCGTGATTCGCCAGCACATAGTTAGAAGCACATCGCAGCTCAAACACACACACACCCAGACATATAAACAAAAACAAAGAAACACTCACATGGGCATGATTCCGCATGCCCACAAGTTCACGCAAGCAAACACATACACACAAACACACACATTGTTTTGTGCGACAGAATTATTCCCTTACCACTGTTTTAAGTAACTAACGCGTCTCCCCAGGAGTTTTAAGTGAACTCCCTGGGGAATACAAGGGGACACACCCTATGACTCATTCTTTAACTGAGTGCTGATATTGGATTGGTTGGACCGCACTGATGGGTGGGTGGGGTGTTCGCGGTAGGCGGGGTGAGTTATATAAGGGCTGATGCAGCCAGATGTATGGCCATTTGAAGACTTTCTCGGAAGACATAGCGTCTTTCTGCAACGTGTGGTCCCAGCAGAAAAAGCTTGTGATCCTTGCTCCTGGCGACATGGAGGCCGATTCACTCCACTTGGGAGGTGAGTGGCAGTTCAACCACTTTTCAAAACTCATATCTTCTCGGCCAGATGCAGCTTTTGCTGAATTCAGCGACTTCTACCTGGAGAAGTCACCACTGTCATCTGAGACCCAAGTCAACCTCTGTGATGATTTGGCTCCTGTGGCAAGACAGCCTGCCCCCAGAAAGAAACTTCCTCTCAGTAACAGGAGACATGCTGCGGTGGGGGCTGGGCTCCAGAATATGGGAAATACTTGCTACTTGAATGCTTCCTGCAGTGCCTGGACATACACACCACCCCTTGCCAACTACATGCTGTCCCAGGAGCACTCTCAACTTTGTCAGCGTCACAAGTGCTGCATGCTGTGTACGATGGAAGCTCACATTACACGGCCCTCCACTGTCCTGGCCACATCATCCAGCCCTCCAGGCATTGGCTGGGTTGGCTTCCATCGAGGCAGGAAGATGCCCATGAGTTTCGATGTTTATTGTGGATGCCATGAAAAGGCATGTCTTCTCCTCTCTGGGCACAAGCAGGTAGATCATGACTTGGAGGACACCACCCTCATCCACCAGATATTTGGAGGCTGCTGGAGATCTCAAATCAAGTGTCTCCACTGCCAGGGTGTTTCCTGACACCTTTTGACCCTTACCTGGACATCGCCCTGGATATCCAGGCAGCTCAGAGTGTGAAGCAAGCTTTGGAACAGGTAGTGAAGCCCGAAGAACTCAATGGAGAGAATGCCTATCATTGTGGTCTTTGTCTCCAGAAGGCGCCTGCCTCCAAGACGTTCACTCCCACACTTCTGCCAAGGTCCTCATCCTTGTATTGAAGAGATTCTCCGATGTCACAGGCAACAAACTTGCCAAGAATGTGCAATACCCTGAGTGCCTTGACATGCAGCCATACATGTCTCAGCAGAACACAGGACCTCTAGTCTATGTCCTCTATGCTGTGCTGGTCCACGCTGGGTGGAGTAGTCACAACGGGACACTACTCTTATGTCAAAGCTCCAGGAGGCCAGTGGTATAAAATGGATGACGCCGAGGTCACTGCCTGTAGCATCGCTTCTGTCCTGAGTCAACAGGCCTATGTCCTCTTTACATCCAGAAGAGTGAACTGGAAAGATGCAGGAGAGTAGCTGGCCAATAGGCAGGGAACCAGAGCTCCTTGGCGCTGAACACAAAGACAGGCGAGAAAACTCCAAGGAGAACTCCAGAGAGCAGAACCCTGCCTCCAGGTACCTGACTTGGAGGAGCACGGTGGAAAGAGCCACCAGAAGCACCTTTAGACCACTGGAAGTTCCTCCAAGAGCAAAACAAAACCAAGCCTGACTTCAACGTCAGAAAAGTCTAATGTACCCTGCCTCCCAACGTGCTTGTGATTCATCCATCAAAATACAAGAGTGGGATGAACAACCATCATCCTGAACAGCAAAGCTCCCTGCTGAACCTCTCTTCAAGGAACCTGACACCTCAGGAGTCCATGAACACTGACACACTCACTTCTCTGCAAGGGAGGACCAGGAGATCCAAAGGGAGGAACAAACACAGCAAGAGGGCTCTGTTTGTGTGCCAGTGATCTCAGGAAAAGTCTCCCACCCAAACGCAGGAGGCATGCGCACACAAACTGACACACACACACATTAGCCACGTACACACACACACACCCACGAGGGGGTTCACGCACGCACACACACACACCATCACATACGCAGTCAATCCGACATAAAGTATTGAGGAGCCCAGGTTCCTGTCTACACAAGAGGGGGACAACTGATAGTGATGACTGCGTTTCAGGATGAGCCCAGACATGGGAAACATCGAGTTTGCTGTCGTGAGTCTTCTGAACCTGTGTGGGGATTGTCTGTGTGTTTGTGTTCACGGTAGATGACATTCAGTGTGAATTTCTGAATAGGACATATTGTGGTGTAGGGTTTCACGTGAAGTTATTGCAGGGGACGGGGGTTGACTATTTTCTCTTGGGGTGTGTTTATCTGGCCAGTTGTTGGTGAGCACTAGAAGAAATTTTTGTAAGTGAACATGGACTTCTATGGATCCTTCGCTACCTTGAGTAGGTGGAAACTGGGACGACGAAGAGGAAGGGTGTTTTTCTTTTGAACCTGCTCGGGCCGCTTTTACATTGCTTGTTGAATGGACCTCAGGCACCCCAGGACTTGTGCCCTTGTGGAACCTACAGAATGCTGAAATAGACAGACAGACACTTGCCTATTGAATGCTGTCCATTTCCAATGAATTGAAGCAGAAAATCATCCCACTGGTATGTGAGTCATTTGGAAGTAAGTCGTATTGATAATCAAGGAAATCAAACACAGGAGCGTGTGTGTATTCAACTAAAATAAAATCAGCAAGCACTGAAATAAATCTCATTTGGTGTGTATCAAAATGGCATTTGGGAGATCTCCAATAATCGTCCAGCTGCGAAAGGTGCATCTCTGAAGCACAGTCCCTGACCTGCAATGAGACTTGTTCATCCGAGGTGGTGTTGCAGTGGAAAATGATTGTGGAAATGGCCCTCCTTTGTGTATTCGCTGATTGGATTTCAGGCTCCGTTTCTCGTTCAGTACAGTGATCCAAGTTGACCAACCCGGGAGAGTAAAGATGTCCAGGGCATAACTCGGGGCCCGTACAACCACAGAATCTTGGGTGCACCTCTGCTCAAGCACACAAATGTGCGTATTAACAGTGTTCCTGTGTGACGTGTGTGCAAAGTACAGTGTGATGAGAGACTCGGCAGACAATATGTTGCCATCGTATGTCTCCAACCACCGGAAATAGAATGTCATGAGTATTTGTTTTTCCTTGCAATCATAAATTCGGGGAATGTCATCAATCAAATGGGTCGGTGATTTCTGCATGATTACCTGAAAGTCTTTCACCGTCTAAACTGTGCATTGAGTATTTCGTCTAACTTCAGTGCATGTTTCCAACACTCGATGCTTTATGATTTGAGTATCTAGCTCCCACCAGAGCGTTTCCTGCAAAGACTTATCTTGTTCCTCACTGGCAAGTCATTTCACTCGGATATAGAATCAAGAGCTTCGAACATGGAAAATCAAGAGGCTGGAATATCTATTGATTCCCCGATCCCAACACACAGGTGTACAGTCATTTCTACATGCAACATAATGTGGTCTCAGGTTTTTGTCTATGTAAAGGGACAACTGGTTAGTGATGGCTGCATCACTTCAAGATGATCCTATGTCTAATATGTTGCTGTGGAGCTGTGAGCATTCTGATCATGAAGAGACTGTCTCAGTAGAAGTGTTTTCACAGTAGATGCACATACTGTGTGAAATATCTGTAGATTACATTTTGAGATGTAGGTTTTCCCCTCAGTGTACTGGATGAATTTGAATTTATTATTCTGTCCTGGTTTGTTTTGATTAGTCAATTGGTGGGCGAGAGTAGGTGAAATTTTGCTAAAGTGGTATATAGGTGAATCATTCTCGTGAACGTGAATAATTGAGACTGGGATGTATTTGTAATACTGGAAGGGTGTTCTACTTTTATTCCAACTTTTTTTTGCATTTGTTTTCAACTGATCTCAGGTGCCCTGGGTAGAACCTATGTAATTCTTGGAACAGACAAACAGATGCTGCTAATTTTATGGTGTGAGTTTAAGTTTAATTTAAGGGTAAATTTTTCTCACCAGTATGTAATAAATTTCAAATAAGTTATACTTATCATCAATGAATAGTGCACAACACACTGAAGCAGAGTATGAAACTAACAGTCAAATTAGGAAAGTTCTTAAATAAACTGCATTTCCATGAGTAAAGGATGGAATTTTTCGGAAACGGAGATCAACCATCCAGCTGTGAAATCTGTGTCTTCTTTTGAAGCAGTATCCCTGTCCTGGAGAGTTGTTTTTCTGGTGGCATTTCAGTGGAAACCAGTTTGTGGAATAGCTCCCTTCACTTTTATATTTTGCTTCTTACTTTTCATTGTAAATCTGTGTTTTTAAACTGTATTTAAATGTTAATAGAATCCAACCCAATAAAACACAACCAACAGATCTTTTCATTTCTAATCATCACAGATCAATCTCTTGTTAGTTATGGTGATCAGTTTACTTACCTGAGAGTAAATGACACCTGGGCAGAACACAGGGCTCCATAGAAGTACAGAATCTTGGGTCCAACCCTGTCCAAGCATCAAAATGTGTATATTAACAATGTGTCTGTGTGAATTGTGTGTCAAGTAAACTGAGTTTAGTAAAACTTTGCAGTAGATTATTAATTTGGCTCACTTTGTAATCAGCGAATGAGCTTTAAAGAGTATCAATGACCAGTGCCTACCCCCTAGAGATAAGAACTTCCAATGTCTTGTGTGAAACCATGGCAACTGATTTGCTCAGATTCTGAAGATAATTCTGTCTCCCATGGTTTCAGAATCACTTATGGAGGTGGAAACAGATAACACATCAGTCCCTTGCTCTCTGCTCTCTTCAGTCATGAAAAAGTCCTTCACTGGGACCAAGGAAAATCCTATGGCTTCCTAGGGAGAAGGATTTTCTCAGGAGAGAAAAATGGTGGCCTTTCCTCCCTGTTGAGCCTCTTCCTCAGGATTGCCCCTTTGTCTCTCCAGGACTCTGTTCATCAGGACCTGGGAGGTGCCCTGGTTGAGCACATCTGGCCTATGAACAAACAAGGGAAGGAATGGTTCCAAAGACTGTACTATGCTCACTCCACCATCCCCTCTGAAACTATCCTGACTTCATGAGCCCTGGGTCAGAAGCTGTTTTTATATCTCTAGGCTTTGTCTCAAGGCGCCCAAATCCTGCCCCATTTCCTACATCTTGTAAATTTTGACAAAACCTGTAGAGTCTAGATCTTTATTCCTGACAGGGCAAAGGGAGACACACCAGATTTCTGTCCCTCTGAGACTGCAGGACATCTCATTTACTAACATGAAATTTTGCATCAAATATAGTTACTGCAGGTCCACCTCACAATGAGTAATGGAAGTTGAGACAACATCTCAGACTCTGTACAGTTTTTGACCAAGCTCATTTAGTTTGGCAATGCTTTTACTCTAGAAATCAGTTGTGAAAACACTCTTAGGATTCATGTTATTTTAGTCTTTTTAATCAGTCTGTTATTATTTTCAATGTATTTACTACACTTTAGCTTAATATTTCTGATAAACTTTGTTGCAAAAATTCCCCAATATAATAGTGGCAAACCAAATCCAGCAATACATCAAAAAGCTTATCCACCAAGATCAAATCGGCCTCATCCCTTGGGTGCAAGGCTGGTTCAACATATGCAAATCAATAAATGTAATTCACCACATAAACAGAACTAAAGACAAAAACCCCATGATTATTTCAGTTGACTCAGAAAAGGTCTTTGATAAAATTCAACATTCCTTTATGCTAAAAACTCTCATGAAACTAGGTATTGATGGAGCATGCCGCAAAATAATAAGCGCCATTTATGACAAACCCACAGTCATTATCATATTGAACAGGCAAAAGCTGGAAGTATTCCATTTGAAATTTGGCACAAGGCAAGGATGCCCTCTCACCACTCCTATTCAATATAGTGTTGGGGTTCTGGCCAAGGCAATCAGGCAAGAGAAAGAATAAAGCATATTCAAACAGGAAAAAAAGGAGTAAAGTTAACTTCCCTTTCTTTGCAGAGATGACATGATCCTATATCTATAAAATCTCATCACCTCAGTCCAAAAGATTCTTAAGCTACAAGCAACTTCAGCAAAGTCTCAAGATACAAAATCAGTATGCAAAAATCTCAAGCATTCCCATATACACCAACAATAGACAAGAAGAGAGCCAAATCACAAAAATGAATTCACATTTACAATTGCTAAAGAGTATAAAAATTCCTACCTAGGAATACAGCTAACAAGGCAAGTGAAGGACCTCGTCAAGGAGAACTACAAACCACTACTCAAGGAAATAAGAGAGGACACAAACAGATGGAAAACATTCCATGCTCATGGGTAAGAAGAATCACATCATGAAATGGTCATACTTCCCAAAGTAATCTGCGGATTCAGTGCTGGCCTCTTATAAACTACTACCATGGACATTCTTTACAAAATTAGAAAAACCTACTTCAGAATCCATATGAAATGAAAAAAGAGCCCATATACCCAGGACAATCCTAAGTAAAAATAACAAAGCTGGAGGCATCCTGCTACCTGACTTCAAACCATATTACAAGGCTACAGTAACCCAAACAGCATGGTAGTGGTACAAAACAGACACATAGACCAATGGAATGGAATAGAGATACTAGAAATAAGATAGCACATCTACAACAATTTTATTTTGATGAAAACAAACAATGGGGAAAGGATTCCCTATTTAATAATAAATGGTGCTGGAAAAACTATCTAGACATATGCAGAAAACTAAAACTGACCTCTTCCTTATACCTTATACAAAAATGAACTGAAAATGGATTAAAGATTTAAATGTAAAACCCAAAACTATAAAAATCCAACCCCATATAAAAGTAAGTAAAACTGGTGCAGTAGCTCATACCTGTAATCCCAGCAGTTTGGGAAGGTGAGGTGGGCAGATAACTTGAGGCCAGGAGTTCAAGATCAGCCTGGCCAACCCAGAAACTCAGTCTCTACTCAAAATACAATAAATTAGCCAGATGTAGTGGCAGGTGCCTGTAATCCCAACTACTCAGGAGGCTGAGACAGAAGAACTACCTGAATCTGGGAGGTAGAGGTTGCAGTGACCTGCTGAGATTGTGCCCACTGAACTCCACCCTGGGTGACACAGCAAGACTCTGTCTTAAAAGGAAAATAAAAATATTTTAAAAAGTGGGCAAAGGATATGAACAGACACTTATGCAACCAACAAACATATGGACAAAAGCCCAAAGTTACTGATCATTAGAGAAATACAAATCAAAACCACAGTGAGATGCCATATCATGCCAGTCAGAATGGCGATTAGTAAAATGTCAAGAAACAACAGATGCTGGTGAGACCGTGGGGAAACAGGAACACTGTTACACTGTTGGAGCGAATGTAAATTCAAACGCTGTGGAAGACAGTGTGGTGATTTTTCAAAGACCTAGAATCAGAAATACCATTTGACCCAGCAATGCCATTACTGGGTATATACCCAAAGGAATTCAAATTCTTGTATTATAAAGATACTTGCATGCATATGTTCATTGCCACACTATTCACAATAGCAAAGACATGGAATCAACCCAAATGCCCATCAGTGACAGACTGGATACAGAAAATGTGATACATATACACCATGGAATACTACGCAGCCATAAAAAGGAATGAGATCATGTCCTTTGCAAGTACATGGATGAAGCTGGAAGCCATTATTCTCAGCAAACTAATGCAGTGAACAGAAAACCAAATACACATGTTCTCACTACAAGTGGCAGATGAACAAAGAGAAAACATAGACACAGTGGGAGGGGAACAACATACACTGGAGCCTGTCTGGTGAGTGAGGAGGGAGTGTCAGAATAATAGCTAATCCATGTGGGGCTGAATACCTAGGTTACGGGTTGATAGGTACAGCAAAAAACCACCATGACACACACTTACCTATGTAACAAACCCGTAATGTCCCGCACATGTATCCTGAACTTAAAATGAAATAAAATAAATTTTTAAAAACTTTATTTTTTCTAAGTCAGTTTGCAATTTCAACGTGAACTTTCTAGTAGACATTTATCATATATAGAATTATATAGTTGATTTTTGAACAACTATGGGTCTGCCATTCTTTAAAATGCAAATCTTTATGAGTGTGTGTATATGTACACATATGTGTGTATATATATTTGTGTGTGTGTATATATGTGTACGTGTGTGTGTGTGCAGATAGATAGATAGATAGATAGATAATGCTCCTGGTCTTCTGTTTGAGTAGGCTGAGAAGGAGGAGGGGGAGGAGTGATTGTTCTTGCAGTCTCAGAGGTAGCTAGGGTGGGAAGAGAATTCACAAATGAACACATGAAGTTCTCATTTGTAAGTGTGATTTAAATAATTGTACACCTGGACATAGAAGTGGAATGATAGACACTAGAGATCTGGAAGGGTGAGAGGGTGGGAGGGGCAAATAATAAACAATGGTTCAGATATCTGGATTCCTTGATCCCAAATGGTGTACAATTATTTCTCTTTAATTTGTGTCCGTTACGAGTTAAGTTTGAGAGGAGTGAGCCAAGCTCAGAAAGGCATTCAGCTGTAAAATCAGATGTGCATGGCAATGGGCAGAAGTACTTCTCTCCCTTTCTCAGAACAAATCCAAGCTTCCTTTATACCCCCACTCACAGGAAAGTTACGGCTCCAAAATGTATTTCTGCTGGAGGCAAAACATTTTATATTTTATGAAAAAAAACCTTGTAACTTGGTCAAACTTAGAAATTAATATTGAAAACAGTAGGCACTCCCTTTGGGACATAATCTTTGAGACACTTCAGCAGCATATACAGCTTGTAATTGTCCTGGAGAAAATCCAGATAGTATAAACTTGAGAATGTTCCTGAGGAACGGAAAAGTACACGTTTACTCACATATTTTACATTAAAATTTGTCAAGGGTAGAAACTCAAAAATCTGTTTTACTATGAATGTTCATATGAAAGTACAGACATTCGCCTAAATTTTACTGAAATTATTTAAAAATTAATTTGTCATTGGTAACAGAAACTTCCAAACATCTCCATTTTACAAGTCTCACTATCCATATTTTCTCTAAAATATTCAGACGTAGAAACAAAATATAGATTAAAATAGCTCATATTTTTCAATTTAAAAATAATTGTTCAGTAACTGGGAAGAAAGGTTTACACAAAATTGGAAATTTGTATGTATATAGAAATTAATAAGATGAGAAAATTATGGCAAATTATAGGGGGCTTCAATAAGTTCATGCAAAATAACAATTATGAAAAAACTATGCATGAACTTTTAGCTTTTGCATCAAAACACACATATACTAGCTTATTTTAACTTTTACTTTGAGACAGGGTTTCACTCCTCTCACCGAGGTCGCAGTGCAGTGGAGCAATCTTGGCTCAAAGTAACCTCTGCTTCCCAGGCTGAAGGATTCTCCTGCCCTTCCAAGTAGCTGGGACCTTGTCTGGTTAATTTTTGTATTTTTTGTAGAGGCTAATTTTTGTATTT